CAGCTGGGACTCAGGAGGCAGAGCATAGATGGGGGCGGGGCCAGTCAAAGACAGTTTTTGCTGGTTGTCCAAATTACTCAAAATCTCCACTACCAGTTCTCCAGAACCGGTTGTTCCCCACTCCACTAACCTGCTTTCCAGCTCCGTTCTCCTGTGCAGGGCAACCAAAGAAGACCCAGCCAATCAGGTGGGACTCAGGAGGTGGATGAGCATAGATGGGGCGGGGCCAGTCAGACGCGGTATTTGCTGGTACTCTGAACTACTCAAAATTTACGCTACCGGTTCTCCAGAACTGGTGCAAACCGGCTGAATACTACCTCTGTGCAAGACCAGCGGTGGGCTGCAAATTTTTTAACACCCGGTTCTCTGGCTGGGTAGGCATGGCCGGTTGGTCATGTGACAGGGTGGGAGATGTCACTCATCACCACTCAGCCCCGCCTCCCAGCCCCTCGCCTCATAGGAACAGGTAGGATCCAGCCGATTGGAGCCAATCCCATCACTGGCTGGCCCCGCCCCCCACTCGTTTTTCGGCCATTTTTCCACCTCTGTGCAAGACGTTGGATTTTTTGAGCCCTGAACATGCCCGTCTCGGCTTTGCGATGCTGTGAATCCCAGCATCGGCTAAGCAAAGCGGAAACCTGAATGTGAAAGCTGGGTCATGAGGCCAGCTACATGGACTTGGGTCAACCATCCTGGTGGATTTGGCCACATCTGGACTTCTGGCCTTTGCACTCGGAATCCAGAGGTTTTTCTTAGCCCCTGGAGAGAGAAAACACCCAGAGTGGATGTGTGGCTACACAGGCCGCCGAAGACCTACCACCCTTCTTCTTCTGAAGCCTGGAACTCCGAAAAGCTTTGGGAGATGAAATCACCACATCCAGAACTTTTCCATTTGCGTGTCTGAACCTCATGTTTCAAAGATGTGTCTTTTGCAGCTACGGCTTCTTTACAAAAGATTCATAATCCTGAATGCCAGCTTTGTCATAAATGTCATTCCACCCCACTGACCAATATTTTGAATAATGGAAGAGTGTGTGTCCATTCTCTCTCTCCCTTCTCTTTCTTTTCTCTCTCTCTCTTTCTTTCTCTCTCTCTCTCTCTCTCTCTCTGTCTCTCTGTGTCTGTCTCCCTTTTCTCTCTCTCTTTCCTTTCTCTCTTTCCTCTCTCTTTCCATTTCCCTTTCTCTTCTCTCTCTCTCCTTTTCTCTCTCTTTTCTGTCTTTCTCCTCTCTCTCTTTTCTCTCTCTTTC